CCCCTCCAGCCGCTGCCCCCGAGAGCGGAGGAGCCGTCGATCGGGCTGGAGGGGCCCCATCCCATCACCCAACCTGTCCCTCCCTGCCGCGGCAGGGCCACGCTCGCCCGTCTCATTCCTGATGCATGATGGCCCCGCAGCAAATTAAATCCCCCCCTTGAGCCCCTTGCTCTGCCTCTTGCTGATGGAAAAAGGTTGTTTTTCCTCCCTCGATTGCTCCTCCTTCTCTTTTCTAGCCCAAACCCAACATCCTGTGCACACAGGCCCGAGAGCTCTGTGGTGCTCTGGGGCCATTTCTACATTAATGCTCTTCCCGAATCACCTTGGCAGCCCTTGCTGAGCAGTGTCCGTGTCACCAGCTGGCTTGTGGCTGGAAAAATCGGAATTTGGTTCCAAACCCAAATTTTTTGCTTCCTGAAACCAAAAGATATAAAGCCCAAACCATGCAAGCTAGAGCCTCCTGTGGTCCTGGTTTTTGGCATCCTGATGGTCCTGTATTCTATTCCAGGATGTGTTTCCTTCAGTAGCGGAGCCTCTTACCTTGGACTTGCTCGTTCCTGGCCTCTCTGATGAAGTTTGCTCCTTGCCCCATCACGCCGTACGTGAGGCTGTGCTGGGAATCAGTATTAAAAGACAGAGAAACTGGTTGCATTGGTACAGCTGAGGGGGGGCAAACCGCTGCGGGGAGGCAGGAGACAGGAACTCCTTGAGATAATTTTGTCACTAGGAAAGCACACCTAAACCATCACGGTTGGACGTTTTAACCTTGGTTTTTTTCAGTGACCATCAGGCCACTTCTAACTATGTGCCAAAATAGGAATGAAAAGGACTAAGCCCGTGGGATAGGTGTGGCATAAAACCTGATTTCAGTTTCACCTCCATCCTCAATTACCATTCATTAATCAAAACATATTCGTTATACAGGCAAAACTCCCACCAGCATCGCCGGGTCCGGGACCGGGGTCCTGCTGGGAACCGCAGCAGGCCGTGGGGGACCGCGGAGCAGGCAGAGCGATGGGGACCTATTTTCCGCAATACGGGAAAGTTGGGAAGACTGAAAAAAAAACAGTTCCTGCGTAGAGCTGAGCGTGCGGGAGGACTGTCCCGTGGCTGCAGTGATGGAGTATTTTGAAGCAAAGGGACACGTCCCCTTTGCTGAGCGGCTGGCTGTGTACAGACCAAGGACGTGGCATCACCCGCGGGGGCTCGGGCAGCTTCCCGGGGCGAGCGGTGCGGGACAGCACCATAAAACATCCTCCGCCTCGCCAGCGAGGGGGTGGCTTTCTAATTACCCAGGTGGATTTTTATTGTAACGAAGCCAGCAATGCAGGATTTGACGCTAGGGGTCTGAATGTGTCACCTGCCGAGGGCAATTTAGCAAGTGGTCTGTGCTTTATTTTCCTGTTGTCCACAGCCGTGAGGCTCGCTGCCCCAAAAGCCGAGAGCCCGTCCCTGTGGGACCCGCCGCCCGGCAGAGTGTGTGGCACTTATATAAACCGATTTCTCTCGTGTCTGCCTTCTCTTAAAACCCATATTCTGATGTGAAGAGGGGTTTATGGGTGCATGGGGCTGTATGTACTATCACTGCCTCTTGACTTTGGACAGATACCAAAATACTTCAGGATTTCGATCGTCCCGTGAAAAGCACTGGCTGTTTGGTCACGTAGCACGAAAATAAGCAACGAAGCATCAACATTTTACCAGTAAAGCCGAGGGGCTCCAGCTGACATTCAGGACACCGCTTTCCAAACAGCCTGCCCTGCAACAGCGCATGGAGCCAAGGCAAACCCCCGCAGTGCCACCACACCGGGCGGCTGGCGGCTCGCTTTGAGCTCTGAGGCTGCCCACAACGACTGACCATTTTCTGCATAACCAGGTAAATTCAACAGAATTTTCCTTTCAGATTTTTTTTTTCCCCCCCATCCAAGACCAAACCAAAAGCAAGTTTCCAGGCAGCGGGAAGGCCAAAGAGAAACTCCTTCAGCATCAATTCACAGATGGGACCTACGGCTCAGGCGACCCAGGCTGCGACCTGCAGGCTCTTCCCATGGGCGACGGGGCAGCACCCAGTCCCGCTGCAGCCCTCCTGAGCCCGGCCAGGCTTCACCCGCACACACCCTGCGATGTATGGAGCAAAGCACTGAAAATCAGCTTCCGAACAGCTACGCCCAGTCCAACTCTCCACTGATTTACTCCGAGATCCCAAGACCGCCCGGCTCTGTGCCTCAGTTTACCCAACTGTTAAAACAGAGACAGCTATATTTAATTTCTTTTACTGCAAGGACATTGCGTGAAGTGCTCTGTAAGTGCAAAATTTATTAACACAGCAAGACCAAAGTCTGCTTTTGCCTAAGGTGGGTAAGTCCAGCAGCGGTACGACTGGGATCGTTGCAGTCCCATCGGTCTGCCGGGCTGGATAACCCCGCAGAAGCGCTGGCTCCCACTCGCCGGGACTGAGCTGGAAATGCAGAAAAAACCTGCAGCAGTGCAGGAAGGCTTGTCCCAGCATGCTGCTTTGTTTGCTGACAGCTAGCGTAAGTGACAACATTGCCAGTGACTTTTAAGATCCCTGTGACTTTAATTGGAAGGGACATTTTTAATAGCCCAGGCAAATAGCTGTGTGATCCTGCCAACTGCAGCGACTGCTTGCAGCAGAGCTTCACGCCCAGAGATGCTGTTATTCTTCTGGCGTGTGATAGGAATATCATGTGTGAACTGACACAGCAGACACGCCAACATTTTTTTAGCTGTACAAGCTCTCTCAGAGAAGAAAAAAAAAACAAAAAACATCAATATGCCCCCGGGGAGAGCCAGACACAAACCGAAAAATGACCTGCGCGCATATAGAAAATGCACAGCAGATTTCCAAACCGTATGCATGGGCTTTAATCAATGAACTTGATTGATACATGGGAAACACTTTATTCCCAGTAACTGTCCTTCGACAGCTCTAACAAGCAGGATCTGCTCGGGATGGTAATGATTAAAATGCTGACTCACAGAGGGTTTTGCCATGCTGGCAGGACTACCCCAGCTTTGTGCTCATTTGGAAGGTATTTTGCATCCCTGCTTTTCAACTAATCTGCAATTTTAATCCTCCGGCTGCAAACAGTTGTTTGCGGCTTTGCCCAACTGACTCCAGGTTTCCCTTCTGCAGGTCTGGAGGGAGAGGGTTGTCCTCTCGCTCGCTAACGTGCTGACAGGCAGCAGGACAGGGCGAGTCCCTGTGCTTTCTGCAGCCAGGAACAGCGAGAAGCTCGTCTGCCTGCTCCTGGGAAGGAGAGAGAGGAGTGACAGCCCCCCAGCTGCCCGGGACCTGAGCAGATAGACCTGCGCTTCAGACATCCAGCGCTGCGATGTGTAAAACCACAGGGCAGATTGCTGGCTTTGCAATGCTTCCATGCATTTCATGGCAAGACAGCAAAGTACTTCGCAAACGCGTTTAAGGCGCAGCCGCCTGCCTGACCATAGTGCCGCTGGCTGCGGCTGCTTGCCCGGGTGCGAAGATGGGGTTTATCCCCGTGTGGCCCCTTTTGCTCGTGGCACAGCCCCCCAGGTGCCACGTGCAGCGTGGTCCCATTCCCTTGAAGCTCACATTTGCAGCCCCTTGGCGAGTCCCCTTGCGGTAGCAGCGATTAACACCAGGAGAACGGGTGTACCCAGGGGTCAGCTGGGGAGCTGAGAGGAGGAGGAGGGCAGCACCTCTGCCCTGCCACGGAGCCAGCACCGGGCAGATGCTGCGCCCGTGTGCCGTGGGGCAGTGCCTGGCAGAGCCGGGGGGCTGCTTGGCACTGCTGGCATGGCACGGCACGGCATGGCAGGGCAGGGCACTGCTTTCGGGCTAAGCACCCACACTGCCCCACTCAGCAGGCAGGATCCCTGCCCAGGGTGAGCCAGCCCCCAGTTGGGACCATTCAGCCACAGGAAAACAGACCAAGAAGTTTCCATGAACACCATCTCGCTGTTGCTCCATCTGCAGCATTACAGCTCTTTACAGCCCTTAATGATATTTGCCATAACTATTAAGAGGCTTTTTTGGGTTTCCTCTGATAAGGATTTTCCTTTCCTGAGCGCAGCCAATGGCTCGGTGGTGGTGGAGGCCCCTCGCTTCGGTCGGGGGGTATGGGCAGCACTCCTGCCTGCAGAGCCAGCAAGCAGCCGCGCTTTTGCTGCGGCAGCCTTCACCATAGGGAAACTGCTAACCCCAGAAAACTGTTCCCCTAATTACAGCGTTGGAGCATGGAGCAAACCACATAAATGATTCACACAGTGTTCCCAAGCTGCAGCCGCGTAAATTAGAGAGATTTCCAAACACTCCCGAGCCATGCACACTGTTATCAGGATGGAAATGCAGAAACTTTCATCATAAAGAGGCGAGGAGGGAAAAAAGCCCCGCCGTTAAATGCATCTCTTCAAATCAAGAAGACCTGGGAGGTCTATCCCCTATAGATCTTTACAGAATGGCTGTTAAAACTCCTCGGGGAGTTCTCGTAGGAGGGAGCAGGGAGATAGCAGGGGAACTATAGAAATGCATCAGCTTGTTATTTCGGAGGAACGCAGGGACTGAGCCTCCGCTGGCAAGCAGAGGATGAAAAGGAGAAGGCAAGCGGACTTGGGGCCAAGAGAAAGGGATGGCTGGCGGTGGGGAAGAGAGTTAAAAGTGTCCCATTGTTAGGGAAGTTTGCTCTCCTTCAGACCATCCCGCTCCCAGGGACACTGCGCCACCTTTTGAAGTGCAACCTTAGGCGGTTCCTTGTCACCCATTGGAGCGGGAGCTTTTTTACCACATTAAGTCATTGGGTAGCAAATGAATGGGGGGTTTTGACTATTCACAACTTCACCTTATAAATATCAGGGCTGTAGGTTCCTGCAGCTCTCCTCCATCCCGATAGCTCACCTTAGGAAGGAGCGGAGGGAGGCGGCCCTGCTCACTCGGGGACCTGCGGTGCGGAGAGCTACGGATCAGTGAAAGGGATCCAACCCCGCTCCTTGTGACAGCCATGAAGAGAAGCACCTTCCTCATTCTCTCCATCGCAGGGGTCTACAGTGCCGTTTTCCACGCAGCAGCATGGTAGGGTCCAACTCAGTGGAAAGGGCATTTTTTAGGGATGCTCTTCAGCCTGTGGTAAACTGTGATTCATTTTCTTTTCTTTGTTTCAGGTCTGTGAATAACTTTCTGATGACAGGACCTAAGGTAACTAACACATGGACTGTCAGGAATTTAAGTAGAGCAATTTTCTTTTGCAAATGGGAAATAGTACTTTTCCAAGGAACCAGATTTCCCAGAGCATATCGGCTCCAAGTCCTGCCGAGTAATGAGGGAAAGGACTCGCAACCCGTTTATGTCTGTTTTCATTGATAAATGGTAAAACGCGGCGGGTTTTAACCCCGCTGTTTCCCGTGCCAGGCTTACCTGACATATTCCAGCAGCGTGGCGGCCGGGGCGCACAGCGGGATGGAGGAGTGCAAGTTCCAGTTTGGGTGGGAGCGCTGGAACTGCCCCGAGAGCGCCCTGCAGCTCTCCACCCACAACCGGCTCCGCAGCGGTGAGTGCGCCTTTACCTGCCGGCACCAGCATCCCCGACCCGGGATGCCTTTGGGTACGAGCCGGGATGCGCTCTGGAGAGAGCTGGGGCTGCTGATTAAACCGACCGATGGAGAAGGGTTTCTGTGTCACAAATATCATGGTGGGTTTTCTCCATCTGTATTAATGGGACGTAATAAATAGCGCTAACATTTTTCTAGGAGTCCCAGGCTCTCTCTGGATCCCTATCCGTGCTAGGCTAGAGCTCGGTCCTTCCCGCAGTGCTGCTCCATGGGCTTGCTCCTGCCACTTTGAGTGCAGCATCCCAGGGAGCGCAATGCTAGAGGCCCCTGAGCGTGCAACGGGGAGAAGCGCAGGAGAGACGGAGAGAGAAACCAGAGACGTGCACTAAGAAACTGTCTTCGTAAGAAAGTAGTGGATATATTTGAATACTGACTGCTTCAACAAGCAGAAGTCTCTTTTTCCCCAGAGCAGCATCTCTAGTTGAATCTGCTAGGAAAGCCAAAAAAGAAACTAAATTAGAAGTGTGGGTGCAGAGAGCTGTTAGCACAGGTTCAACCACCGACTGAAACAAGATCAATGACGATTTTCCCCAGCAGGCAAGATCAAAGCATGAACATACCCCCCGAGCAGGAAAGGACAGAGACGAACCGAGTGCCAGGTGAAGCGAGTAATGACTAACCTTGGCCCGAGCAGGGCTGGGGCATTGCCTTAAGATCCTGCTGGTGCCAAGAAACTCCATCCCATGCATGGACACCTGCATAGTATTATGCCAAATTACTGAAAGCCTTGACGCTGAAGCCTGAAGAGACTCCAGTCACGAGCATTTCACTTCCGTAGCACCTTACCTTTTGCACAAACTGTTGGGTTTTTTTTTTCCCTTCTTGCACCTTTGCAGCGCGGGAGAGCTTCATTCCCAATAAACCGGGACCGATGTCTATGTTTGCATGTGACAGCTTTTTTTCCCCTCTCCCCCAGCTACCCGGGAAACATCCTTTGTACACGCCATCAGCTCGGCCGGCGTCATGTACACCCTCACCAGGAACTGTAGCATGGGAGACTTCGAGAGCTGCGGCTGCGACGACTCCAGGAACGGCCGCGTCGGTGAGCTGCCATCTCAAGACGGGCTGACGTCGTCTCTCCATCCCCACGTGCAGCCCCCCGGATTTCAGGGTAGAATTTGGCCCGACGGGGTGGTTCTGCGCTTAGCGTGCATCTCTCTTGCAGGTGGCCGAGGCTGGGTCTGGGGAGGATGCAGCGATAACGTGGAGTTTGGGGAGAGGATTTCCAAGCTCTTTGTGGATGCTTTGGAAACAGGACACGATACCCGCGCGCTGATTAACCTGCACAACAATGAAGTCGGGAGACTTGTAAGTCAAATATATAATAATAATAATTATAATTATAACGATGTCTATATTGAAAACAAAATCCGAGAGTCTGGTAGGCTGTTCATGTCGCTGTCTCCAGCCCTCTGTGACAATCTAGGCTCTGTAGTGTTTGCATGGGGAAAAAAATACAGCCAGAATCTGGCCCTAAACCTGAACCCAAGGAACTGCAGTAAGAGTTGTTCCCACTTCCAGCTTCTGCGGCTGCGTGTAATGCAGTTAACTACTAGCACACACCACTTATTCAGAAATGCCCAGGTTTTATACTCACCTAGAGCTTGTCTGGTCTGTAAAACAAAGCAAGAACCACTTTACTTGCTTGCAGTATGCATTTCCAAGCTATTTGGCCGGGGAAGCCAGGTGTGAGCTGGCCCCGCTCGCAAGCCGGCTGCCAGACTCGCCCCCCACTCCCCGCCTGGGCCAGCAGAGGCTCTCAGCATCTTGCCAAACCTTGTTTTTACAAACAAGGACGTTTGGCAAGATGTAAAAACAAGGACGGCAACACTTAACATACCTATCTCATAGGGTGTGTCACGGCTTAATCTCACATAGATACCAGTGATTGGGACCTTATAAATACCAGAGGGAGATAGGCAGATAATATCTGTGAAGTGCTTGGCCTGGAGGAGATGCAGAGAGGTTGGGTATGATTATTCCGAAGCAGTTTCACACATTTTGAATGAAACCTCTGAGAGGGATGATGGGTTGATGCTCTGATGAGTGAGGTGAGCTGCAGACTGGAACGGTGTGAGAAGGGCATGACCTGACAAATGCGCTTTTTTTCTGTCCTGGAGAAACAGCTCCTGCAAGGGCTGGAGACATTAGTTTGTGCCCACTCGTTATCTCTGTCCTTTTAATTAGCAAAGAGGGACAGATGTTTTCCAGGAACGGAAATAAGAGCATCAGCTCGTGTCTTGGAAGGACCTGAAGTCATGCCCAGCACAAGCCTCTTTTGACCCATTGCCCCCCAGATTACAAGTGCTGTAGAGCCTGGTTTGGGGATTTAAATAACGATGCTCTGCTGCTCCTAATTTCTCCACCTTTTCCACCAAGGCCGTGAAAGCCACGATGAAGCGAGCCTGCAAGTGCCACGGGGTGTCAGGCAGCTGCAGCATCCAGACCTGCTGGCTCCAGCTCGCCGAGTTTCGTGAGATCGGGAACTACCTGAAGATAAAATACGACCAAGCCCACAAGCTGGAGATGGACAAGAGGCGGATGAGAGCCGGCAACAGCGCCGACAGCCGCGGGGCCACGGCGGAGACCTTCCACCACGTCCACGCCACGGAGCTCGTCTTCCTGGAGGACTCTCCCGACTACTGCACGAGGAACGCCAGCCTGGGCCACCACGGCACCGAGGGCCGCGAGTGCCTGCAGACTGGCAAGAACCTCTCGCAGTGGGAGAAGAGGAGCTGCCGGCGGCTGTGCACCGAGTGTGGTCTCCGCGTGGAGGAGAGGAGGACGGAGGTGGTGGCCAGCTGCAACTGCAAGTTCCACTGGTGCTGCACGGTGCGGTGCGAGCAGTGCCGGCCGCTGGCCCGCCGCGACACCACCGCTGCCGCCCCCAACCACATCAAGCGGAGGAGCAAGGGCCATAAGAGATAGAGGGCAGCCGTGGTGCCTGAGGAGGACGCTTTGGTGTCCCCAGGCTCGGCAGCCACCGGCAGAGCTGGGTTGGGAAGGAGCGTCCCCGGGGAGCTACGGGGTCCGGAGGGCTGAGCAGGGCATCGCACAAGGCGATGGGGCCTCCTGCGGACGGATGCTGTGAGATTAGGAAGCACAAGGCGCGGGCGCTGAGGGGCCACGGTCCTTCTTGCTTCCATGGTTTTTCCTCAATATTTACCAGTAGCTTCTTTCTTTTCGGGAGTCACTTTATTTGTGCATTGGACAGAGGGAAGAATTTAACTTTTTCGGTGGGCTCAACCCCTTGTGCCACGTCCAGTGGGTCAGCCGAGGCCAGCGCTGGGGTTCCAGCCCCATGGCAAGCAAGGCGGGGACGGGTGCTGTGGCCAAAAGCAGGTCCCGCTGGGCAGCTCCGTCCCGGCAGCCGCGGGCACCACAACTGGGGCACCCTCAGCCCAGCGGTTCATGCACAGCAGCTGCTCGGCAGTATTTCTAGCGGAAAACTTTATGCACTTTCTGATGTGAGAGGGGGCTTTGCAGTGTCGTGGTGTGTATTACAATGACTGCAGCTTTTTGAGGGCTTTGATAGGTTTCAAGCCAGTGTTTACAGATTTCATACCTAGCCCCCCCCCCTTTTTTTCCCCTCCCCTTTTTATATTCTGTATATCGGTACCAAAACCCTTGCCCCAAATGGACAGTAGCTTCATGTATTTGTACTGGATGAAATTAAGCTGTTTACAATTCCTATACCTTTTTTTTTTAAATTAGCAGATAAGAATTCAGAATTCTTTATGCCTAATGTTGTTTATTAATAAGTTGTATTATTGCTTAGCACAATCTGTTTTCTCTATATATTTTGAAGGTATCCCTAAAGAGTTAGATTTTGGACTGTATTTTGCAATAAAAACCACAATGAAAAGGATTGGCTTTTTCCTTTCTGGCTTCCTAGCAGTATGACTTCACGTGCAAAATTGTCCCTTTCTGGGTAAAGCCCAGCACTTCCAAGATTTCTCATCGTTAATCCAAAAGCCACTGAAGCCAGCGAAAAGGTTGTTCTCCTAGACCTCAATAAAGGTTGGCTCCAGCTTTCAGTCCCCGGAGGGTTCGCTTTAATACCTATCACTGTAATATCTAACCTTTTTCAAGTGCTGAGTATGCAGGCACTGCCTGGCTAAAGCCGATTTTGAAGCTCCCGATGCCTCTTTAATTTGCCTAGGCCCGACATCCCCCAGACAATGCAAGGCTGCCCCGCTTTGATGTGGAAAGCATCAGCACTCACTGCAAAATTCTTGGAGGCACGAGAGGAGCCCTTTGAACTGGGGGCAGGAGAGAAAAGTTGGGGACAGTTGTGAATGTGTCTGCTGGTTCCCTGCTGCTCCGGGTGCAAACAGCCCCACGCCACGGCAGGGAGGGCAGGAGGGGACACGCGCTGTCTGCTGCCATCCCAAGCGGGTCCTGCTCTTCTCCTGGGCTCTCCAGGGCTGTAACTTCAGCCTGGATTGCTCCTAGGAGTCACAGTGCTGCTCTGGAGGGAGCCGGGGCTGTGCCACCACCCGCACCCATGATGCGGGGGCAAAGGATGTTCCACCAGGTTTGTTTTCCAGACAGGGGAAGAGGAGAAAGAGAGACAAGGGGCGGGAGGGGGAAGCAAACCCTACAGCTCTGCCAGCATATTGCGCCCACGCTACAAATGCTTTGATGCTATTGTATCCGGGCATCCCTACAGCTCCTACCGCAAACACAGCCTTGACACACGCTCGAGCCAAATCAGGAAGCTCAAGGTGTAAAACACACAAGTTGGGAAGCACGACTGACTTCCAGCTTTAACAAAACGGCTCTTTGGAAAAATAAATGCATGGAAGGGCTATGCCAGCGGGCCATCCATTTGGAGGGCTTGTTTGCTGCCTTTGGAGTAGCTATTTCTAAGATTTCCGTAACTAATAGGCCACACTACCAAAGCAAAAAGCTCCAAGATTTTGCACAGTGTTGCTACAACAGCATTTACAACCCACCAAAGTTTAGGCTGAACTGGAAATGATAAAAACAGACAAACAAAATCCCTTTCCTGCATTTTATGCACTGGCTGGCTTGTCTGCACAGAAACACGGGCTCTACTTTTGTAATACCTGCTGTGGTTGCCTGGATTGCTGCTGCCCCAGTGAGCGGCCCCGGGCCAGCACTCAGCAGCACCAGCCCCATGACTGGGCAGCCCCGGGAGCTGCGGGCACAGCACGCTGCCAAAATCCCACGGAGCCACAA